GGGCTGGGGACAAGGACATTTCCTGCTTCCGGCCAAGGACAAAAATGAGGTTGTTCACTTTCAAGGTTCGTGCTCCTAAAGTGACTAAGTGGTTTCTACTCCCAGCCCTCATCATTATCTTAATGGATCACAGGCTTCCACTACCCCAAAGCTAAGGTGTCACCAGACGGTATCTGAGACTGACAGCAACCCCCTCACTTCGCTGTGACGCAACTACTTGCGGTTTGCAGCCATGGATTTGAAAAGTGTTTGCATTTATAACTATCTTTGCTTTGTTACACTAAAAATGTCAAGAACCCTTTTTAAAAAAATAAAAGAAACACTAAACACTTGATTATGGAATTTAGGGTAGCCCCAGTCAGGGTTTTCAGATCATGATCGTACCTACGTGGCTCTAGGATACATTATCTTTTCTCCCCTTTGAGGTGAGAGCTGGTTTTTACATTAACAGTAGGTTGCAGGATGACTACAAAGGCTTGAGAGGTCTCAAAGATTCTGAGAAACCGAGGCTGAGGGAAATGTGGTCTATGGTGGTGAGCTGACTAACCAAACCAGGTCAGAACTGCTGCTCTGGCTTGCTGGCTGAGGATTCAGGCTGCGGGGTCAGAGTTGGGCTGCGCAGTTCAGTGCAGTTTCAAAGGCAAAAGGGCAGGGCTGCGTCCAGCTTAAGGAAGGGGCAGAAGGTGGAGGGACAGGATGTCAGTTCTATCTAGCAGGCCAGATCAGGAGAGAATGAGCTAAACGGAAGCCTCAGGGACAAGTCTGGGATTTCTTCACCTTGACAGGTCTATAGGAGCCCTGGTCTCTGCAGTGCTAAGTGCCTACCCCCCCCCTTTTTTTTTCTTTTTTGAGGAAGGGGGACAGGTGAGGAGATTACAGCCTTTCCTAAGTCTGGGACGTCTGATAAGTTCTTGGGGCTGCTTTTCCCTGATATATCTATGTCTATATATCTATGTATTTTTAAAATTTGCCCTTGTTTCCTTATTGTCCCAAGTCACCTTGATACATCCACAGGGTGGTACCCTTTCTACTCTCATTAATGACAATTTACCAGTCTGTGCCACTGTGTGTGGTCCCAGACAGGTGATGCCATTCGCATGTCCATCCGGCTGCAAAAGGCATCGTACATGCTGAAAACGCACGCTGCTCGGGCTGCTCCTAGGATGAGTCTCTTAGGCCAGGGCACAGTCTGAGGACCCACTTGGCACAACAATGAGCACCTCGGAGTGAGGCACAGACTGATCTCAACAAAAGAAGTGAAAAATAATAGTAACAGCAGGAAGCAGGGCATCTGCTTTCTAAGGCTGCATCTTGAAGAGATGATAGAACTCGTATTTCCCAGGCTTTCTTGAGTGGTCTGGAAAAGGCCTGGTAAGTCAGAAGACACCCTCCCAGCCCCTGTCCCCGCAGTGGCTTTGTTTATGCTGATGCTTTTGTTTCTCTCTCTGGTGTTGTCCTTGGGGTAGTTTCCCTCCACACTGTCTTTGAGTGAGCAAGGCTGTCCTGGGGGCTGGAAACCCTCGGAAACTGTGTGATCAGCTACGACCTTATCCACAATGGGAAGGTCTGTTCTTTTTAATAACATCCTACAATAATCTTTTCTCCCTGGAGTCCTCTGGAAGACTTGCATGCCTTTCAAAAATGAATGGCACTGTCCCTGAGTTATTAAATAGAGTGCCGGAGCCTTCAGGCCAGGGTGTTTAAAGAAAATTATAATAAACCAAAAGGCACAGGTTGGCGGCAGACTGCATGGGTTCAAAGCTGGCATTGATGCCCAAGGCGGTGATCCCTAGGGCTGCTGTGACGATGACATGAGTTATCCAGGGACAGCGCTTGGAAGAGTGCCTGGCATGCAAATGTGCTGACTGTACAGTTTAAGAGTCTACTACCCAAAACGATGATGCCAGCTGTCCTCGTTCAGATCTGCATTTCTTCGATTGCCCCTTAGATCATGGGGAAATATTTGATGTGACCCTCCTCCAATCTCATTTGGGGCAATTTGCCTTTCAGAAGCTCCTTTTCTTTTCTTTTTTTTTTCCCTAAGAGGATGGAATTCTCTCTTCCGCCTGGTTATGTAGAGTTAATCAGACAGGAGGGATCGAGTTTCCATAGCTGCCTCTGCCTTTGCTTGGGAGACAGCCCTGGTGTTTGTTTATGACAGATGCAGGGTAGGAGCTCACAAGAAAGACATCTGCAGTCTGCACAGACTGTGAACAGGGCACGTGGATTACAATTCAGTGTAGCTGTGTACCAATTCTCCCCACCTTGCAAGCATTATCCAATGGGAATAGCATGCTGGCACAGCACTGCCTGTTTCACAGTGCTTGGCTGATGGCTTCAAGGATCTCCACAGCCCTGGGGCTAACGCTCTTCCCATTTGTTGGGAATGGACTAAATGCCAAGGAATGGAAAGAAATTCCTTTTCATCCTGACCGTCCATGGCTCATTGGTCATGAAGTCTTGGCCTATAGACACATACATCTCCCATGCTTTTCTGCTGTATGACTGCCACCATGCCAGCCTGCTAGTCCCCACTGGCTGTCACTAGGCCACTGTGACTTGCTTCTGTCTTGCTTCTATTAGGAACTCTACTGACAATAGCCAGTCCTCCTCACCCAGCCTCCCCACCTCCCCCCTTGCCAGGTTCTTTTTCTGAATATGGCTGCTGCTAAAGATCTCATGAGGACAGTCTTTGCCCCTGTCCTGCTGTGATTGACATCTAGATTGCTGTCATTTGGCCCTGGATTCTCCTGCCTCCTTCCTTCCTGTCCACTGCTCTTCTGGGTTCCCATGTGCTCGCCCTTGTTGAGTCTTTTGATAAGAAGGATTTTCCCTGTTGAATCTATCTGAAAATTCCCAACTCACCCTTCAGGACTGTGGTGGCTTGAATGAAATGAAAGGATTAGGACATGTGGCCTCGTTGGGGTAGGTGTGGCCTTACAGGAGGAATTATGTCACTGGATGTAGGCTTTGAGGTTTCAAATGCTCAAGCAAGACCTAGTGTCTTTCTCCCTTCCTGCCGCCTGCACCATGTCTGCCTGCACGCCACTTTGCTTCCCGCCATGATGATGGACTAAACCTCTGAACTTGTAAGCCACCCCCGACTAAATGTTTTCCTTTGTAAGAGTTGCTGTGGTCATGCTGTCTCTTCACAGAAATAGAACATCAACTAAGACTCAACTGTGGGTCCAAGGGGGGCCATTTTACTTCTTTTGCTCTTGACTTTCTAAATATCTACAGTGTGGTAGTTTTAAGAACCCCCGACTAAATGTTTTCCTTTGTAAGAGTTGCTGTGGTCATGCTGTCTCTTCACAGAAATAGAACATCAACTAAGACTCAACTGTGGGTCCAAGGGGGGCCATTTCTTAACAGCCCAAGAATGACAGTTCTTCTCTGGACTTGCCCATCGCTTTTTGCTAACAGATTTGCTAACATCTGTTTGCCTTTCTAACAGGTCAGAAGAGGACCCTTCCTCCTCATCTGCTGTCACCATTGTCTGACCCAGAGCATACAGATGGAATAAAACTCATTCCAAATAAGTGACCTTATTTTCCATGGTTAAATAGTTTCAAAAGCTGGCTGTAAGAGGAGATGGGACCTCAGGAGAATGTATGAGACCAGGAGGAATCCATGTTTGTCATGGCATCGTGTCCTCTCCTGTGTGCCAAAGGAGTGAAGACTGCTACCATGACACACAGTGTCTGGCATGGAGCATAGCTACATATCTACAGTGACTATCAACGGATTGCCTAATCAATATAGCCACGCCCCCAAGGCTCAGGGAGCTTCAAGGGCTGACTAAAGGAGTGCAGCAAGGTAGAAGGCGGTCTTCAGAACACACATCGTGATTACACTATTGATCTCACAGCATTTGTGGTTACTGGCATAACATCTGGGAAAGGCTGGGCCTGTTGGTATTGGCACTGGAGATGAGGGGGAAATGACCCACATGGCCCCAGTGCCCCTGGGGAACTATAGGCAGGTGATGGTTTTTAGTCAGGTAGGGGCTCTCCAAGCCCCACAACTTTCTGAAGATCTATAATGGTGACTGGAGGAGGTGTGACGTAAAACTGGCCCATGCTCCTCTAAGCAACCCATAACCCAGGAACATGTAATCGAGCCCAGGGAAATCCATTGGGCCATTAAATACATTAATCAATGAGGCTTAGGTGGGAAGACAAAGGGCATCAGTGGGAGTTGGAGGCAGATAGGAGAGGGCAATGAGGAGTGCAGATGATAAAAATGCATCTCATATGTGTGCTGAAATGCCACAATGAATCCCATTATTACATAGAATTAAAAATGCTGATAACGAAGGAAGGTCTTGGATAACAAGTTAATCCATGAAACTTACCCATAAATCGTCCAGTTTCAGAGTCTCTCTCCATTTTCCAGTCTGTGTATATCACTTCACCTTCCTAAAAGAAAACAGGTTCTGGATAAATGCAATGATAAGTTCAGAGGCAAGAGACCCTGTGTTCCTGTGGTCCTGTGGTCCTGTGCTCTGACTCCGGGTCCAAAGACAAATAAAGGCAACAAGTCAGTTTAGTTACATGAGAATTCAGTATGCCAGGATGGAAGAGAGGCTCCAAATTGTTAGTGTGTTTGATTTCTAGATAAAATAATAATAATAATAATAATAATAATAATAATAGGAATAAAAACCTCGAGTTTGCTTTAGCACATAGTGACATGAGTAACTCGGGCAGGCGTGGAGACTTGCTCTGCTTAACTGATGGCTTTCCTAATCATCTGAGGATGTGTGTGGAGGGGTGGTGGTGGCGGAGAGAGGAGGTTTGGGTCATTCAGCGATTTGTTCTCAGCGTTGAATTAAGACCCGGAATAAGATGGAGGTGGAAGACACATTACAACATTTACCTTTTAAAGCTCAGATTTAGGTATTGTACAGTCTGGTGCTAATCTGTGGCCATTTTAGGAGAGGGGAAGACAGAAGAATCTGGTGTGAAGGGACAGTCGAGACAGCCACACAAATGGGAAAGAGACACAACTCGTTTGTCACCGTGAGTGGCAGAGGGGAGAGGCACCGGTCCTGCCATGAAGGCGTGGGGGCTGCACAGCTGACTCCCGGTCACTCAGGTGCAGGTGACCCTGACATGTGTTCCTCCAGCCTCCTGCTGAGGGCTGAGATTGCCAATGTGTGCTGTCAAGCCTGGTCTATGTGATGCTGGACCCGTCCAGGGCCTTATGCGCGCTAGGCAGCGCAGGGCTGACTACATCCACAGCCTGTCAAGGAGATTCCAAACCTGAGTCTTCAGGGCATCTAAGTTAAAAAATCTTAAATACAAATGAACATATGGACCGACCCAAACCCCCTTAATGTGGGTGTCAGCTAGGAGGTCTGGGCAATCTATGGAGCCTCTGGTAGTGGCTCAGTATTTATCCCTAGTGTACGAATCGACTTTGGGAGCCCATCCCACATAGAGGGATACTCTCTCAGCCTAGACATGGGGAGGGTCTAGGCCCTGCTCCAAATGATCTGACAGACTTTGAAGACTCCCCCATGGAAGGCCTTACCCTTCCTGGGGAGCAGAAATGGGATGGGATAGGGGGCTGGTGGGCGTGGGGGTGCAGGGGAGGAGGGGAGGGAGAGGGAACTGGGATTGACATGTAAAACAAGATTGTTTCTAATTTAAATAAAAAAGAGGAGAAAAAACCCTGAAAATGCCTTCAAACAGCAAACATGTAAAATAAGGTTATAAAACTATAACAATGGGGGCTACCATTTAAAAACCAGACAATTCCAGTCTACCTCTGTTCCCACAAAGAACTTCGTGGAGAAATCATCTATGGGCTTGAGAATATTGGCCAGCCCAGCTTCCAGATTGTGGTAGGGGTTTATTTCTGCTGTCTTCAGTGCTCTGATCTGGCTCAACACCTTTTCTTTCAGAAGAACATGCATAGAAGAAGTACCTGTTGAGAGAGAAAGATCTTTTAAAATATATATTATATTTTCCGTTGCTTGTCACACTCATCCATGCCATCCATCCCTTCCCCGACATGGCAGTGACTAAGTCCAAGACTCAGTAGGCTTCAGCTTAGCAGTGACCCTCATCCTTTTTAGACCAGCACCAACCATGTCTAAAATACAGTACAAATGAGAGCTAAATGTGTGGACCGCCCGAGGGGACAGCTATTCTGGAGGCTGACACACCAGGACTTTTCTTTCAAATATTTGATGTCATTTTACTTTAGAGAAAGGTTTTTAATGATGTAAAATTTATAAATATTGGTAAACTTTGGAAAATAGAGAGAAGCACGAACCAAATAACAAAATGTACTTAATGCCCTGTCTTTCAGAGATAAACACCACTGAAGCACTGCTGTTTCTCTCCCTAGTGGCATCTGTGTGGATGCACGCGAAGCAGGTTTTGTAAGTGTGGGTCGTATCCTGGGACTGGAGAGGTAGCTCGGGAGCTAAGAACACTGGCTTCCCTTCCATAGAACCCAGGCTCAGTTCCCAGCACACACATGGCAGCAAACGCCATTTGTAACTCCAGCTCCAGGGGATCCAATGCTTCCTTTTGGCTTTTGTGAGCACCTGACATACATGAGGTGCACATATATACATGCAAGCCAAACACTCGTACACATAAATAAAAGTAAATATTTAAAAATTGAGCCTGGTGGTGGTGGTGGCACACACCTCTAATCCCAGCACTTGGGAAGCAAAGGCAGATGGAACTCTGTGAGTTCAAGGCCGGTCTGGTCTACAGAGTTCCAAGACAGCCAGGACTGTTACGTAGAGAAACCCTGCCTTGAACAAAATTGAAAATGGAATCATATTCTATTTTAACTTGAGAGAGTGCTCTTTTATTCTCTTAGAGACAAGTGAGGAGACATTGAAGAGGGGGAAAGATGAGGACTACAAAACACTGAGGGAGTGGAAACA